ATGGGGCACGCCCTGTGGCAAGCACCGTCGTGGCCACACTTGGCATGGCACATCTTCACCTCCACGACGTCGGAGCAGAACGTCTCCACCGTTCCATCCGCAGTCTGCCATCTATCCCAGGCGCTGCTCACACCGATCCTGCCCACTCCAGCCAGGCCAGCAGTGACTGCAAGGGCTGCGATCACTTGACACCAGCGCATCCTGTTCACTGGCTGTTGCGGGAACCGCTAAAAGAGATGCGCCAGAAATCTGATCTGACTAGTGTTGCTGTCGGCTTGGGCCAAAACTATATATTTTGGCCTATAACAGCAAAGCATCATGCAGTTGCGACTGCAGATGAGTGTGGCAACACCAACGCACGAGCGTCACAACACTGACGAGCAAGTCTTCCATATATGGCGATGCCCAAAGCCATGAGACCCTGACAAGCAGCTTCTATCCACCTTTCAGCACCCTACAGTACTGACATCATCGCCATTTATCGTGATCTGGAATAACGACTTTCAGTTGCCTAACTAACTTTGCTATGCTATGTGCCTCTCAAGAACAAGCTGCTCATCCGACTGGCACTTCTGGTAGCGGACTCCTGACACAAACCATAACCACAGCAAAAGAATCTGCAAGCTACGATGTCAAGCCTCTGGGATGTCTTTAGATTGACAAGGCCGTAATGCCGCAGGGTTTACCTTGGGATTTTAATTTCAGGGAGTTACAACTTCGGGTCGAGGAGTTGTCGGGTTTAGGTTTCCTGGTTGGGGGCCATTCTGCAACTCTTAGATACCTCAAACAATACAGAAATACGGTTTAGGGTTTAGGGTTTAGGGTTTACAGAAATCAGCAGGAAGGCAGAGCCAAAATACTAATAGACTGTATTTCAGGCTTCGGGGCACACACGGCTTGCCAGTCTTCTGGCACGACAGCACGCTGAGGCAGGATCCGGGACAGAGTTCGTCCCCTAAACCCTAAACCCTAAACTTAAGTTGACATGTCTTCCGACCCCTCCACTCCTACACCCCATAGACTAGAACCCCTCGGAACGCTACACATAGGGGCCTTATAATTAGGATAGGGTTGCGGGGCCCATTCTACTCTAATTATAATAACGGAGCGCCAAAATTTAGTTGTTGTTTGCAATTATTCAGGCCCTTATGTTTATTTTCCCACTGTACTCTGAGTCCCAAAACAAATTTTGGTAGTTATTTAGTCCCCTGCATTATGCATTCTTAAAATACACCCCTAAACCCCTAAACCCTAAACCCTAAACACCTAAACCCTAAACCCTAAACAACGGAACCCTTCCTCGACTCTTGCTCTGCCACGGGGGATCGACCACGGCCGCGGCAAAACCACCAGGCCTGGGATTGAGCTCTTGGGGTTTTCCATTTTGGGTTAGGGTTTAGGGTTTTTAGGGTTTATTGGGTTTAGGGTTTAGGGGTTTAGGGTTTGGGGTTTAGGGTTTAGGGTTTAGGGTTTCGGGTTTCGGGTTTCGAGGGTTCTGAAGCCTCTAAAGGGATGTTCCTGGTGTTTTGTAGGGTTCGGATAATCCACTGGATTTCTGTAGGGATTTCAGAAGGCCATCACATTATTCGTATGTCGTGGGTCAATGATTCTGACAAGAATAAGAGCGCACCAAGACTTGCCTTGTTTAAAAGAGTCATGATCGCATGTAAGGCCAGCCTGGTGAACATTGAGAAGCAAAATACACAGTCACAACAGCCTTCGCAAGACAAGTCATTCTCAACATCATCGCTATCACCACGACCTCGCAGCCACACCACTTTCGGCTCCCGTCGCCGCAGTCCTGTACACAGTCAGCGGAAACATCCGCAACAAACAAGACAACGACGAAACCACAATGCAGCGCTCGCTGACCCCTAACGACCGAACCCCACCCCGAATCCGAAACCCTGAACCCCCAACCACCAGAGTCGCCAGGTCCCAAATTACTGTCGGGATGCGGCACTAGGCCGGTGCTTCGGAGTCCATCAGGAGAGCTGAAGATGTCATCCTCTGGGATGTTGTTGAGGAACTTCTTCCGGGTAGCATGACGTGCAGATGTGTATACATACACTAATAGAGCTCGAGTATTTCATTAGCGGTCGCCGGATCTTACAGTGTGGAATACGATATGGGGTGCATTACAAAGTTTACAGTCGATGAATGCTTTACGTGAGCTTAGCCTGTCATGAATAAAGGTCAAGAAGTCAGGCTCATTTCGTTCAGCTGCTTGGGAAGTTGTCTTCGAGATTTGTGCCTCAAGCACTCGAGCTGGTAGACGAAACTCATGTCTCTTCAGTCAGAGGGATCTTACCTATAGTCTCCATTGTAGTTCCTTTTTGGGGATACCTTATAAACTCGTGAATATATATATATATATATGGTTAAACCAAAAAAAGGAACTACAATGGAGACTATAGGTAGGTTTGTAGGATGCACATGCTAACCCGAAGCCTCGTCAGCACAACGAGGCCGGGTCTTCTGTTTGCTTGTGTCAAATCTTGCGCGCTTCTGCGAGCACTGATAGGAAAGCTGCTAAAGCTATCTGGGTTCACGGTTTAGGGTTTAGCGTCGGTCTGAGCTGGTCCTGTACCGAAGTACTATCGCCACCATTCTCAGCGTGACCCCAGGTGACGACGGTTCCGTCTTCCAGAATGGCAGCAAAGGCAGCAGCAGCGGCTTGAATCTGCTGCACATTCTTCAGCTGAGTCTGCACATCGCTGCTGTCGGCACCGCACTCAGCATTACCCCAGGTCACGACGGATCCATCGTCAAGAATAGCGGCAAAAGCGCCGTCAGAGGCTTGAATTTGCTGCACGTTCTTCAGCTGAGTCTGCACAGCACTGCTGTCACCACCATCTTTAGCATCACCCCAGGTTACGACAGAGCCATGGCTGAGAATGGCCGCAAAAGCGAAACGAGTGGCTTGGACCTGCTGCACATTCTGGAGCTGATCCTGCACAGCACTGCAGTCCGCACCACACTCAGCGCTGCCCCATGTCACGACAGATCCATCGTCAAGAATGGCAACAAAAGCAGCGCCAGAGGATTGAATCTGCTGCACATTCTTCAGCTGAGTCTGCACATCGCTGCTGTCGGCACCGCACTCAGCATTACCCCAGGTCACGACGGATCCATCGTCAAGAATAGCGGCAAAAGCGCCGTCAGAGGCTTGGATCTGCTGCACATTCTTCAGCTGAGTCTGCACATCGCTGCTGTCGGCGCCGCACTCAGCATTACCCCAGGTCACTACGGATCCATCGTCAAGAATGGCGGCAAAAGCAGCCTCAGAAGCTTGAATTTGCTGCACATTCTTGAGCTGAGTCTGCACATAGCTGTTGTCGCCACCGAACTCAGCAAGACCCCATGTCACGACAGATCCATCGTCAAGAATGGCGGCAAACGCGCCGATACGGGAGGCACAAATCTGCTGCACGGTCTTCAGCTGATCCTGCACAGCGCTACTGTCGCCACCATAGCCAGCAGCACCCCAGGTGACAACGGATCCATCGTCAAGAATAGCGGCAAAAGCGCCGTCAGAGGCTTGGATCTGCTGCACATTCTTCAGCTGAGTCTGCACATAGCTGCTGTCGCCACCGAACTCAGCAATACCCCATGTCACGACAGATCCATCGTGAAGAATGGCAGCAAATGCGCCAGCAGCGGCTTGAATTTGAACCGTGCTGCGCAACAAGGTCAGGGAGTCACCATTCTGCACCCTGGCTTTCTTGATCGGCACACATCCGTCCACAACGCATCCAGACGAGTCCAGGAGCCGCCCTGTCCCGACCCCGAGGGCAGCCTGTGCCCGTCGTTTCAATGTTCCCACCGTCTCATCCAAGGCTGCTTCCGCAGTGGCTTTCCTGCCACTGATCAGCCCAACTTCCACGTGAATCGACATGTTGCGAACCGGCAATATCCGATCCCACACCTTTGTTCGATCGAGGTTCGGGAATTGAACCCCAGACCCGAAACCCTAAACCGCAAAGGGTTCAATCGATTGACAGTTTCGTTGGGCACTGCTGGTCGCTCCGACCCTTCTTTGATGCTTGCTTTCACTAGTGTCCCACGTAAAGACAGCTTTGATTGAAACATGGCGAGAACCCAAGTCAAACATGGCGAGAACCCAAGTCCATCAAGAGCTTTATGGGCTTAGGCTGAAACTTTTAGAATATAGGGTATAAGCGTGTGAGCGTGTGCAGATGTAGCAGGCTGCAGATACTTCTGACAAGCTTCTGCAAACCCATGCTGTGTGCCTCAACGCTGAAGTGTTAGAAAGAATCGACAGCTCATGAGGCCAATGAAACATCAGGGTCTATGTTCCTCTGACTCTTCGGGGTTCCTTTGATGGCTTGTCAAGCTCTAACGGACAATGCGTGCATGCATACATGTGTTTGTGTATGAATGTATGCCTGTATGTAAGTATGCGGATGATGTCCATGTTCTGGCAACGGTAGTTAAAGCAAGAAGCCGGTCGTGCGCATTCCGAGCTACCGACGGGATCGAACAAGAGTCCAACACAAGCAGTGGAGGGCTTGACGGCGACAGAATCCTAGGCCAGACCATGCCTGTATATGGGTAGTTGTCAAAATCATGGTCCCTTTTGGGGTACCCTAAATAATAGGTGTCGTATTATAATAAGGACCCAAAAAGGGACCATAATTTTGACAACCACCCATATGGTTTGCGTAGTACCTGTAGAACATCATATCCAATCGCTGAGGCTTTCACCTTTATCAGCCGGAGTAACAAACTGGAACATAGCACAAGAGCAGTCTGCACCAGACCCTTCCCTTCGAAGAACCCACTCACAACAAAACAAAAGCACAAACAATAAATCATTAGTCTATTAGTCGGGGGGTTTGCAAAGCTGGACAAGACCTTTCGAGCATGGGCGAGCTCGCCGCACAGCTAACCCCGAAGGAACTAAACAAACGCCGAATGTAAAAACAAAAGCAAAACAAAAGCAACATCAACACGCGGACCACAAAACACACGCCAAAGGCAGCCACAAGCTTGCCTGGAGCCACGAACTGGATTCAGGCAGCAGAAAGCCACCTGCGAGAGCCTCCTTTGCGGACCTCCGAGGAAACGTTGTAGAGCTTGGGTTTTACATTTAAGGGCTTAGGGCATTTAGGGCTTATAGGGCCCTTGACAGGAAATTACCTGCCCAGGTAGGGGGTTCACAAAGGTGCCTCGATTTTCGTTTTGGGGTCTGGAGGCTTTCAGGGTTTATGGGTTTAGGCTTCGGGAGATGGCCGGCTTTGGATGCTTTCGGACATGGGTTGATGAGCCTTGGGCGCAGAATGGCAGCCTTTGTGGCCTTGGGGTTTTCGGATGCAGGGTTTAGGGTAAAGGGTCTGCAGCTTTCATCTCGGATGGCGGTGCTCAGTCACTGCTTGGGATCTATGCTGGCATAATGTGTTTATGACCCCCGGTGGAAGAGTAACCACATAGTATCGACTCTTGGGGCTTGAGGATTTAGCTCTTTTGGGGTCTCTTGGGCTTCAGGTGTAAAGTGCCTACGTGGTAAACCGTATACCCCCTAAGCCTCAGAACGAACTCTACATGGAACTCACAAATCGCTGTCCGCACCGTCTCACAGGAAACGCCGGGTTTCGGGTGAGGGTACGGCTCACAACATGTGCCAGAAAACGAACAGGTCAGGAAGCTCTATCATTGATGCGGCCGAACTGGGAAGACTGGCTTTCGGATTCCGGCCAAAACCCAAAGCCGCACTGCACCGGGCCTGCCGCTCTTCAATTCCTCGGGCACAGGAGGCGATGCGTGGTTGCGCCTTGGCCAATCCGGGGCACACGGCCCGAAGGCCCAACGCACAAGCTTGAGCGCAAATGCGATGAACTGGCATACAACTCATGGACTTAGACTTACCTATAGGCTCCATTGTAGTTCCTTTTTGGGGTTACCTTATAGAATCCTTAATATAGAATTGGTTAAACCAAAAAAAGGAACTACAATGTATATATAGGTAGTCTTGGTCTTCAGGCATATAGGGACTTATGGGTGTAAAAAAGAAGAGCCTGCTCACGATCACGTCTCCCGGTCACGGGTCCGGAAACCCTCCCAAGCGGTCAGTTACAAAAAAGATAAAAGCCCACCTCCTCTATGCCCAACTCCCCTCCCGGACACCCCATACAGATCTGTGGACCGAAACCGCAACCCATTGACCCCTGAACCGTCTGGTAGAATCCCAATTCCAGGGCCTTTCGAACCCCATCAAGCCCAAAAACCTGCAGTAAACCCCAAACCGGAGATCCAAATCCGCCCAGCCGCTTCACGCAGCATTCCGTGCAATGTTCATGTCCCGGCCTGTGTTCAAAGATTCGTACTTGTGGCTCTGACGGCTGATGCTCGTAGTAATTATTAAGGGCCTGGAAACTTGACTTCGGCGGTTGTGGCTGGCTTTTTGGCGTTTGCAGCAGGTCAAGGATCTTATGAAGGCCACGTGGAAGAACAATTTGGTGGGATGCTTAGGATGTAGGAGGTGGTGGAGCGGTACGTCGCGCGCCGGCCTGTGATCTGGCGCTTAGATGGTCCGGGCACAACATATAGAACTGCGCTGCATGCCGATCGTGATTTCTGTAGAGAGAGAGAGAGAGAAAGAGAGAGCATGCTTGTCGTAGGAACGGGCATCCATGTAAGCACAAGGCATGCTTCAGCGTCAACGGGCTACCTAAAGAATTCAGTCTTGTTCCCCGCTGGGATTGCGCGAGTTCCAAACTAGTTCACGGTGCTGCATTGCAAGGTTCGAAATCCGAATTCTGTGCCCTGGTTGGTCTATGGCGAGGAACAGGCAGTGCAGGACAGGTGAGCTCCATGAACTCAGGTAGTTAGGCCGACATTGGGGTCAAGGTGATCTGCTCGTAGCTTGTGTGCGGAGAAGGGCTGATCATCGTTTGAAGCCGAACAGGTCACAATGCAGGCTGAATCGCCGTCCGGAAAGGATGACTGTCTACCTTCCGACAAGCCGTTTCTGTCATAGTTTGGAAAACTTAAGACCGGAGAAAGGCTAGGGCTAGCGAGAGCGAAGTGGCACCTGTGCATTGGCAACACGACCAGATGCTGGTAAGCGACAGAGATTGATGCAGTGCTCCTCGTATGCGTTGCTGCGAGCTGGCTCAACAAAAACAGACCTAAGCCTGCGCTGAACGACGCATGGCAAAGCTCGTTCCTCAATGCAAGAAACAATAACAACTCCGAAACGTTTGTTATATCTCGGGTGTATTTCTTTACTTCGTGCTTTCTTTCTGTCGAGTTGTCTTGGTTTAGTTCGCTCATTTGTTCTTCATCTCGTTCTTAATTTATGTCCTTCTTATTGCCTGGTTTGATTTATTCGTTCGTCGCGTCCTTGGTTCTTGCTTTATTTCGCTGTTTCGTTGTTTCCGTCGTCCACGGTTGATAACGTGGGTCGTCCTTTCCTTGTTTATGTCTTTGGCTCGTTCGTTGAGTATGTCTTTACCTTGTTTCTTTATGTGGTCTTTCTGTGACTCGTTATTTTATGTCCGTTCGCTCGTTCGTTATTTCTGTCGTTATGCCCCTCGATATGCAGTTCGTTCCCTGGTTATTTAGTGTATTTTGTCGTTATTTCGAGTGTTGTTTCGTTCCTTCACTTTGATTTTCTTTGTTTCTGCCTCTATTATTTATCGATTTATGGTTTCGTTGTTTCTGTATGTCGTTCGATATATCTTTCATGCAATTGTCATTTCGTTCGCTCTGTCTCTCTCGTTCTTTCTTTCTGTTTTGTGGCCGTCTGTCTGCCTGTCTGTCTGTCTGTCTCCTGTCTGTCTTTCGTTATCTACATATTTACTTCGTGTATTTTTTTATTTCACCTTCTCCACCTTTAGATTGTTTCTTTTGCGTGTTTCTGGTTTCTCTGGTTCTGTCTTTCCTCCTGACGTTTCTTCTTTCTTTCCTTCTCCCCTCCTTTCGATCTTCCTTTCGGGTTTCTCTCTCTCTCTCTCTCTATCTCTTTCTTTCTTTCTTTCCCACCCCCCTCCCCCCCAAAAAGCAGGGTCCCCTTCACCCTCTATACAAACTCGTCGATGCTTGCGCTTGTCAACAACGAGTCGGACAACACGCCCGCGGTGAGCGTGAAGCAGTCTTAGACACTGCAGCTTTCTTGGGTTGCGCAGGCGTTTGCTGCGGCTATGTTGCCGAATGATAGCGGCTTTGCGATCTGCAGGGCTGACTTGGGGTGGGGGACAGGGGGCCTCAAGGCAGGGGGCGGAGGGTGGCCCGAGTAGCCTTCCTGACTTATCGGGATCCCGACCCTTGAATCCCTGGTTTATCAGGAGCTGCAGTCTCGTTAAACCCAAACTTCAACATCATCCCTAACCGCCCAAACCCCTAAGCCCTACACCCTAAACCCCTGCACCCTAACCCCAGCCCGACTTTCTGAGTCGACCGACCTCCGCTGGGCATCTTTGGCGAGGCTCTGGAGAAGCCTTTTTCGGGACCAAGGGTCCAGGAATTCCGAGGCTTTGGTTTCTGTGGCTAAGCTCCAGCGCCAGGGAGCAGTGTCCAGATTTCCGGGTTTTGCTTTGGGCGAGAAGGTGAGGAAAGAAGGTGACAAGAAACAGAGCACACTAGCTCTTCTGTCACCCTTCCATGTCCATGTGCTCGTCACAAACAATAACCGCCAAACACCATAAAAGGACCATACACTGCGAATCTTCACCAGCATTGTCGTGTGAAAAATATGACATGACATGCAGGAAGCCCAGTGCGACCAGCGATCAGGTGTACGTTTCGGAGGATGAACTAGTGCATGGAGATCTTGAGTTCCCCAAAGAATCAGACCTCGAGAAATTTTTGTGTGGTTCATGAAACCTGCATGCAAATTGATTTTCCACAGCCTCGCTTGCTCCGTGGGCAGAGTCTCGGAAGAGAGCCGATTGCTTGTCGCCGCCTGCGGGTGCTGAAGTCCGGAAACCGAGGACCGTACGCCTTGAAGTCCTCGAACTCGCCCTAAGGGTCCATGTACCTAAATAGTAAATATACATTAGCCCTAAAGTACCTATATAGGGACTACATTAAGGCCAAAGTATATACTATTTGGGTACATGGACCCTTAAGGTCAGGTCTCAATCAGAATAAAACCCTTTCACACCGCAGGGCCCTAACTAAACCCTACCCATAGGCCCTAAAGTAGTTCCTTTTTGGGGTTCATATTTAGAATCCTTTCAGGTAACGGGGCCTATGGGTAAACCCTACAAAGCCAAGAACCCGTAGTCCAAGTGCAGCTTCGAAGGGTTTCACTTGTCGCGTTTAGGATTTTAGAGCGGCTAAGATTTCCTGCAGGAAATGGAAGAGGCCCTCCTGCTTCGAGGTTGCGTAATTAACCGGCCTCAACGACTGCTTTCAGGTGGGGTTTAGGGTTTAGGGTTTCGGGTTTAGGGCCCTAGTTACCTAGATAACCAGGACTTCGGATTCCGGGCTCAAGATGCAAGGGTTTGGGCATCTCGAACAAAGGTGGCAAGGAGACTTCAAGAGACCCGCCAGGCTACCATCCCACGCCCGTTTGGCGAAGTAAGCCCCGAACCGAATCCCAGTATCGAAACCCTGAACTCTGCACCCTAAACCCTAAACCCTAAACCCTAAACCCTAAGCCCTAAACCCTAAACCCTAAACCCTAAACCCTTATCCACATCAAGTTGCTAGGATTCCTGAAGTCTTTAGGACCGTGCAGCGCACAAAGTGCCATTATCTGTACGACAGCCGAGCTCTGAGTTCGCAAGCAGTCATGCTGTAGTGTTTTTGAGAGATGGTTACTGGAGGATGTTGGCTTGGGACGAGGACTGCCCTCGGTCCACAGACGATCTTGTGAGAAAGCTTCTAAATGAGTAGTATAACCGGATATATAATATTGTAATATTCAGAAATCCTACTAGAAGATGTCATATGATATTATGAACATACATATACACATACACACATGTAAATGTGTATGTATATATACACATAAGTATGTATACATACGCGAGTGACGTTGCTGCTTTTGGGCAAATTCACAAAATCATCCGTAACAAACTTTGGCTCCGATGGAGGGACTACTGACGGCCAGTGAGTTTCATTTCCGAATTTCTGCAAAATCTGCACCAGAGCCCAACCGTGTCATTGCCTTTCGGAAAAGATCTTTCTCGAAAGTGCAAGCACACACATGCATCTACATCTTTAGCTACATCTACATCCACTTCTACATCTACCTTTACATATATGCATATTATACAGATACATACCTATTTATCTGTTTATTGTTCATTCTGCTGTATAATTGTTAGTACACCAAATTATATTGATATCATGCAGGTTAGGTTAGTAGCTAGCTAGATAGGCAGACAGCATGTATAGCATAAGCACATCAAAGGCCCCTGGAGATCTTGCGAAGTCTGGACTTCCCCCCCCTCCAAAAGAAAGCACTGAACCCTGAACCTAGACCGGAGCACAGTGCCGAAACATGAGCCTCCATCCCTTAATATAGGAGCCTTAATAAGTAGAATAGGGTTTTGGGGGTTCCTGGTATCTGCCCAACTGGATCCAAGAAGCCCTGGATCCGAGGAGTCCCGAAACCTCTTGGGGGGTCTGGGTTAAGGGGATGCTTAGGACTTGGAGTTGAGGGTTGAGGGTTGAGGGTTTAGGGTTTAGGGTTTAGGGTTTAGGGTTTAGGGTTTAGGGTTTCGGGAATCTGAACCCCAAAAATCCCCGAATCTCGGTCCTCGTCTCTCTTCCTCTTCCGGGCGCGGAAGAAGGGCAGGGGGCAGCAGGCACGCGGAAGAGCTGTGAACCGCAGATAATCCGCCGACACCTCAGCTCACACTCGGAGAGCTTATCGGCTTGTTTCCGTATTCCTTCATAGGGTTTCGGGTTTCGGGTTTAGGGTTTAGGCTTTAAGGCTTAAGTTTTAGGATTTGGGGTTTAAGGTTTAGGGTTTAGGGTTTAGGGTTTATAATCAAGTCATGGATGAGAAGCAGTACATGCATTGATGTATCTGGATCTTCCGTGTAGAAGTAGGGGGTATCGGAGTATCGGGATCTGCAGAACACTGCCAGTCTGCGAGATAGAGGCAACAGTCCCGGTGGTACCGAACCTTACACATCCCTTGCAACTCTGACCCGAAACCCACACGCGTAAAGCCCTGACCTGCCACACGACTTTACTACGTTATAACGATATAAGATGCTTTAAATTTATACCATACAAAATATAATAAGACCAGTCTCTGAAGTCCTGACCGCAGCAAATCCGACACTACACCGCTCTGGGTGTTGCCCTAAGCCTTGCACCCAATACGGGAGTGTCAGAAAGTCAGGGCCGGCAACATCGTCCGCTAAACTAACTTGAAATGGAGCGATGCATCAGATAAAGGCACCCATATTGGACCTCAACCCATAAGACTTCAGCAAGCCGACTTCATTGAAACACCGCTGGGAGATTTGTGTGATGCAACGTCCTTTGAGTGCTTTATGATATATGATACCGTGTTCGTATTCGTATGCATGTAATACAACGTAGTAAAGTATAAAATAATGCGAGTAGAATAGAATGCAGTCTGGTCTGGTATGGTATATTCCTAAATCGGAAACCCTAGTATCATACGAAATATATGAGGGAACTGCGAAGTGCCTGCACGTCAATGTCAAACTCGCGGCAGGCCATGGCTTCGACAATGAGCTCATTTGCAAAAAAGGGGGTTAGTGCTCCTCTAAGGTGTCGATAATGTTTTCGGTGCTTGGGTGTCTTTGATCAGGTTCCTTTATGGGTTGTTTCTAAGGTTCTTTAGCCTCTTGGCTTAGGGTTTTTAGGGCTTAGGGGGTTTTGGGTTGAGCAGGTCGAGAGACAGGGTTCGGGGAGTCTGGGCTTACAAGGCTTATGGCGATAGGGGCAGTAGTGTCATCCTATAAGGTGCCACAAGACACCCATCTTGTCGGCCTTTGCCTGATGGCTTTGGCCGGGGAGGCAGTGGCAGCATGTGATGTCTTGAAATTCGGGGGGCCTTCAAGGGCTTAGGATCGAGGGTGACTTTGTCCTCAAACTCCCAAGCATGTACACAAGCTGCAGGGGCAAGTCACTCCGTACCTAAACTCTCCACAAAGTTCAGCTCAAACGCAACAAGCCCCAAGCGTTCAGGGGCCGGTTGGGCAGCAGAGCTTTGCGAATGTCCGATGCGCATGCTGAAGATGTCTAGACCATTACTCGCCGCCAGTGCCGATAAATTAACATGTCTCCTGAAAGCAGGCCCGACGACCAAGCAGGTGGTCCCGTGTGCGGAGGTCGGAGTTCTGGTACCGGCAGCCCTACCTATAGTCTCCATTGTAATTCCTTTTTTTGGTTTAACCAAATATATGATAAGGATTCTATAAAGCATCCCCAAAAAGGAACTACAATGGAGACTGTAGGTAAACCCATACCGGCAACCCGTAGAATAAACGCTGCAGAAGGACACGCGGCCACATTTCTGTCAGCCCCCAGAGCATCACCAGCGTTCTCTGGACGCTGGTCTCATCGCTCCAGATGCTTCGAAGGAAAGAAGGAAACCCTCTCATTAGTAGGCGTTATTTTTCAAGTTGTTCTTTTCGGCTCTACCAGTATGTATAAGCTCCTCAACTATATACCACTATAGGCATTCAATCCTGCTGGCCTTAACCATTCAAGCCCACGGAGCACCGGGAAAAGGATCCCATCAGCTGTACAGAGTCAGAGTCAGTCTGTCCCAGGACTGCCCTTTTGATATTCAGAATTTCGCAGCAGCCATGATCCGAAATGACGAACATGGGTCTCCAGGACGAGCGTCGTGGCTGTATGCATCTAGCGAGGAGACCTGAGATAATAGAGGACTGCTGGACTGTAGTCTTACTTCTTGTCCGGTTTCTTGTGTTTCTTCCTTGCGGAAGGTGGTGCCAGGCGGCTGTCAAGCTTCCTGCTTGCACAGCCTGTGCTTTGAAAAACGGTCATGGCCGTGCTGCATGCAGCGAGCTGCAGAGGAAATTAGCTGAAATATTATTTGGGTTGCACCGGACATGTCCAACAGAAAAGATTCCTGGCTGGTGTTGTTTGGCATTCCGCTTATACTTATTCTAAGACTGATTGCCAAACACCGGCTGCAACCCTCCCCAGAAAATACTCTCTTCAGTATTCGTATCTTCGACAGGCACTTTCCCCACGAAAGGCACGCCTGTTTGCGACCGGCTATAGGGCCGCAGTGCAAATTGCAGCCGAAGCAGGTTTCGAAACTTAGGATTCAGAACCTTTGGTTTCAGGGTCTAGAGTTAGGATGCGGCGCTTGGGTGTGGTATGGGTCCTGAGACAGTGACACTCGAACCCCAATATTTGCCGAATATACCGAAAGTCCGGAGGTCCAAATCTCTTCCCGAAAATCGTTATAACGATGGTTTTTGGCTAGTCGCAGAGACAGGGGTTATGTCGCATTGATGGCGGCGACTACTCTCAGATTAAGATGGTATCCTCGGCTCTGGAACCCCTACCATATCCGGACCCTACCCCGAGGGCTTTCGCCGAGACACATATATCCTGTGTAAAAGTGCATGAACTCGAAAGGGACTTTTCAGGAACAGAAGCCCTACATAGTGACCAAAAGCTTCCTTGCACAAGACCCCACCACCGAATTCACAGAAGTCCAGAACCCCCATGCAGGCCAAAAAGCGGTAGGATCCTCATTGCAAGGACCCCTAAGCCCTAAAGTTAGGTATCCCTGATCTCAAGACACCATGGACCCAAGTAGGGTAACCTGGCCCGGCTGCCATCAGCGGACTCTGCCGCGCTCTAACCTGCAGCCCCCAAATAGGGCCTCACACCCCTAGCTACCAGCAGCTTTTCGGACGCCAAGCCCTAGACGGGGCTGGGATCATACATATGGGTAGTTGTCAAAATTATGGTCCCTTTTGGGGTACCCTAAATAATCGGTGCCGTAATATAATAAGGACCAACCCATATGAAGGATCTATGGCAGTTTTTTGGAGACCCTCCGACATCTAGTCTGGCAATACGCCAGGGTGTCCTAAGTACAGCGAGAACGACACTTGATCTTCATAGTCGTGCCTTTTGCAAGAAAAAGCAGTTTTAAACCAAAGCAGCCGTTGTGATGGGAATACTAGGCAACCATCTTCTGGGCGCTGAGGGTTGAAGTACTCAGTAGTTGCAGCAGTAGTCGTCGTCGTAGTTAGTTGTAATTTTCTTAGCAGCAGCAGCAGCAGCAGCAGTAGCAGCAGTCGTACCACTAGCACTAGCAGTAGCAGTGGCAGCGGCAGAGGCAGTAGGAGTCCGAGTAGGGGTACGAGTAGGAGTAGTAGGAGAAGAAGTAGGAGCAGGAGTAGGAGTGGGAGTAGCAGTAGCAGTAGCAGTAGCAGTCGTAGCAGTAGCAGTAGGAGGGGAGGAGTAGGAGTTGGAGTAGGAGTTGTAGCAGGAGTCATAGTAGTGCATCCGGCAGCACAAGTCGGTATGAGCCAAAGACGAAGCAGCAGTAATTCTCGTGGGAACCATGCAAACCAATGGCGTCGCAAACCGAAGCTGCGCGGGTGAGACTTCGAGTTCAAATGAATGCGTTGTCCCGCCACCCTCATTTGGAGTCTTTGGGTTTCCCTAGCAGGAAGCAACAGTACCACTGCACCAATGCAGCAGCTATAGACCATTTTCGCGTTAGATCCACGTTCAGGCGCATCCTTATCAGAAAGCCCCATTCTCGTGTAGCATCATGAGGGAAGGAGACATGCTAGAGTTGCCTTGACTTCGGGTCTTGATGATACCATTCTTCAGTCTTCAGCTGGCAACTCGACGAGTAATTACCACGCTGAGCAGACATATCCGGGTATCGTCATGATGTTGAGAACCATGATGAACCGCTACTTTGTCAATTTGTGCAACTGGGTTTAGCTTAATCTAATTCCTAAACATCCCCGACGCTGAACCCGTCCAAAGCCTTGGGGCTTACAGGGTTCCAGTTCTTCGGTGGGATTTTCCAGGCAGCAAGAATTGAAGCTTCAGGTTTCCCATGGTGTCCCCTAGTGTTAAACCCTAACCTCCTCAACGCTAAACCGTCTAAGAAAGGAGCCGAAAATTGAGTCTTCAAAACACGATTGACGTGTCACTTCCTCATGGTAAACCGACGGGACGGCCCCTCACCCGGCGCCGACAGAGCATCACACGGCCCAACCTTCGACATATAAGCGGGCAGTTGGAGCTGTGGCATCTCTGACAAACCGTGGGCGCTGTCGTATACCGTAGCGTAGACTCCGCTGAACAAGAAATCAGCCTAGAAACTACCCAGTAGCTCAATAGCTGCACTCGTTGCTTTCAGCTTCAGGGCATAAGGCCAAGTCTGATGATCTGATTCTGATGACGATGACCCAATGGGAAACCTAAGTGTTCTCGCAGGACTATCGAGATCCTGCGTGAAGACCACGCGCTGCTGGGGTGCCTGCTTCGGTCTTCAAACTTCGGCAGTACCGGGGCCCCCGGGAATGGATCCGAGGCGTTTCTTCCTAAACCCTGAACCCGAAAACTGCTTGAAGCTTAGAATCATTGGGGTAGCGCCCACACCATGGACCCTAAACCCTAAACC